CTTTTCAACTTACGTTTGCTGCCACTACAGTCTATCATTAACCACGAAAAATTTTAAAATGGAAACAGAATAAAAACTGGCATTGCAAGTTATGTATATTCATCCTCCATTTATGTTTCCTCTTCTTCTTCATATAATAAAAATTATTTCAACTATAATATATATCATATTCTTACTCTGAATTAGATTTATAGCCTTTAATGTAGGTGTTTTCGCCATGCCGTTCTTTTTCTTATATTCTTCTTTATGAAAATCATCTTTTCCCTCTGTTGATGGAAATTAGGTTACTATCAAATTCATCACATTAGGATGTCTGTAGTCAGACTTAATTCGTTATTTTGGAAATCGATCTAACAAGTATAATATTTGAGATGCATATTTGACAATACAATACTTACTTAAACCACCGTCAGTTCTTAAGTACGCATTTATATTACTTGTTAATGTGCATTTGTGTTTTGCTCGTCAGTCAAACACTGTTTTTAATGCCAACCGGACAGCCAAATAGCGGTGATAATATACAGTGACTTGATCATTCTTTTGAATATGCACTGCTGAACAGCATCTGTGCATCAAATGATGCAATTAATATATTAAAATTTAGTGATCCACCGGACAACTACCAATGCAGTCAGCCACGCAAACCTACGGAGTTCAACACCTCTGATTTCATGTCGAAGCCAAAGCTCGACGATAGTCCTGTCATGAGAAATACGCTCTGTCCAGCCGCTCCTATATTCGGCTCTTCTTCCAGCACCCGTTTCCAGAGACGCAGTGAATCATAGGTGATCACGTTGCCGGGATCAAATATCACAATGGCAACCTGGCCGTTTTGGAAGATTGGCATGTCCTTCACTTTTGACAGGAAGAATCCTCCAATACTTGTGTGTGCGATGAGAAAAATGGCTGGAAAAGAAATATAGGAACAGAATTGAGAAAATCAACCCTCAAAGCTAAGGGTGGCTAGAGAAATCTTTGCTGGTTTATTGGTTGTCTTCAGTCATACTTCAACCAATTATCATCGGGAGGTCATCATTTATTACATGGTCGCCAGACTTATGCCCTATATGGCTGCATACACGGCATGCTACAGACATACACAGTTGTATTGCCGTAATACAATGCATAAACGGCTTGTACTTCTGGCCCATGTACAGCTGAAGACTTCATTAAAGACAAATTTGCTGACTCCTTCCCTCACTTGTGGAGCTGCATATTCAGGAAGCGCAATTATTTAATCAAAAAACATGTTTGAGAACCTCAAAAGATTTCGTGTTATTAGTACGCTCCCCTTTGCTTATATTTCCATCACCTATTGCCAGACTACTTCTCGGATGCAACTACAAAAAACCTTGAAATTAACTTGGATGCGTCAGACTCTTCCAACTGCCTAGGCAGTTTCACAGAAATTGCTTAAAGCTTGACAAAATAGCATATGAGCATGCGATTAATGTGCCAATGTCTTCACCGATTTCTAAAAGCATAGCTAAGTGCTGCTTGCAAAAATTCGAGTGACTGGACATCCAACTATACAAACCAACATTTTGAGCCAAGAATTGCGTTTTACTCTCGTGAACATTGAGCGCGATGAGTCTTTGACACACACATAGCAATACAATGTTCTTTTCAGATGCAAAACGGAAGAAAAATAACTGGACTACATCGCTTGAAGTTATCATTCACCTTCAAGTTTATGATTATCTGCCTCTCGTGGCCGTATGGACAAGCCTACTTCTTTAGTCATTACGGATACAGTATCAGACCTGATTTCAGATTGGCAGCCATTATTTACTCGGATGTGGAAGGACATCAAGTGAACCTTGGAGCGGAAAGATACTGCTTTTTATATTGAAAAACGTTAATGCATTAAAATAGCTGCAGGGGTAAAATGTGGAATTAGATATGGAAAAAGCTACAGGAACATAGAGCAAGACTGCTTAGTGATCGCAAATTGTTTTATTCGGTGGGTAATCGTAATATATATGGAAAAAAGTCTATGTAGGTATTTAAAAATAATCTTTTGCAAGAGAATTAAAATTTAATTTGCTTGGAAGTTTGTTTGTTGAAGTGTGTTGTTTGGTAGAAAGACTGTAGTATCTATTCATATTTCTTATGCTTTGGCATCAGAACACAAATGGCCTAATTATAAAACAAGCACTACCTTTGAGGAGATAACTGGTTACTATGTGGTCATATATATAAAGGTGGACATCTTCGTAAGGCCAGAATAATTTTCATTTACGAACTATTACCTTGACATATTTGAGTGATTTTCTAACCCATTCTTCCCCATTCTCCTGAGCAATACACGTTGCTTTGCTTAGGCTAATTCATACCTTCCATAGAATTTAATCAAAGGTTCGGGAAAATCACTTACTGGATTCTCCTACATTGTATAATCATGTGAGAGACAGCTAAAGCTTGAGATTTTAAATGCGGTAAATGCGATATATCTTTCTACATTAGGAGTAATGGCAAGGTTATTCTTCTTTGAAAATAAGATATTTTAGCTGCGTGTCAGGATATAAAAGTGGAATTGAGCAGTTTTTAGGAATGCTGGGCTGCTAATTGTATTATTTGCGATAACCTTAGACGAATAGAGTTCTTTTAAGCAAAACACAGTCCATCATTTTCAGGTAATATGCACGATTAATATTCGTAATCGTATTGTATAGGTCAATATCCTCGAGTTGTATGCAAGAATAATAATTGTCTCCAAAAGTAGTGCTGAAAGATTATTTTAGAAAAATTCGTCCACGAAGCGCATACATTGGTAACTAATGTGTACCTTTAATGTTCTTCTTCAAAGGAATGACCGCAATTACAAAAAAAGTCCGTACTAAGAGCAAGTACTTATAGTTTATATATTCAGAATCGTAACTTTAAGCCTTTAAAAAGTATAACTCTTGTTTTCTCGTAGTCTTTATAGAGTTTCTAGTTTACGATTTTCTGACAGTGAAACATTATTGGGATCGATTTCACTTGGAATAGAAGAGTTCAAGGCACTTGGGAATTAAAAAACCTAATTGGTAAGCTGAATTTACAAATGAAATTTTTACGCGACCTAAACATGTGTCGGTGCCCAAGGTCCTTTGTGATAGGAAATTCATATTTTCTCTTCATTTATTTGATATTGGAATCATAAAACTTTACCCCATGCATGGCTGTAGCTCTTACTATATGGTATACTTTATAAAAATCATCGTTATCGCATAACCGCAGATAAAATAAAACTTACCATGACAGTTAACTGTCAATCCACTGACAATACGTACGGGGTCGCTGTCCCTCTGAACACTAGCCTGTAATATAACATTCAGTTTAATGTCCCCTGCATTCGAAAGGAGATAGGCAATTGTTTGGCCAATAGCCTCATTCTCCAACGCTAGCTCACTACTCTCATAGAGGATTGCGATATTCTTCCAACCCTGTTGCCGTAAGAAAATGTTTAGCGATTTGTAGAGTTCTTCGCTGGGAATGCTAATGGTCACAGATGCCAAATTATTAAGCAGATCTGTATTATTCCTTTTTGGAGGAATCTTGGAGTAGAACCTGACAAAACCGTCAGTCGCACATGCATAGTTAATTTGCCGGAGACTGGCGTAAGCCGCTCGCACAAGTTTACTTTGAGCCACCCAGTCACTGATGAGTGCACACATGCTACCCCGTTGTGGTCCAATGTAGACAGTGTAACCTTTGAAGTCTTCAATATCGGACGCGATCAATTTCAAAAATCGGACAATTTCTTGCATTCGGTGTTTCTCTGTCAAAGAACAACCCAGAATTAACTTTACGAAGGGTTGTACATCACCCTCTTTAATGAGACCCTCGGTGTGCTTTCTGCTGTATTTGACGGCAGCCATCAAGGAATGGAAAACCTCAAATACCCGGGTTTCCAGTAAACAGTGCATGCTGGGTTGAAAGAACATCAGGCGGAGTTTCGAAGTTCCAGAAGGAGGTGCGGTGGCACATTCATGCTGAAAGACTAGAAGCAGGAAGATGGAAAACAGCGCAACTGATTTCATTGTCATGACTTCTAAGAAGCGCCTGCAAGTTTGACAATTTACGACTAACTGAGGTAAGATGTTGTTGGGCATAAGTAGATAAAAGACATTGGTTGGCGATGTCTGACCTATCCGAAATGTGCATAAGTGATTTTACTTTCTTCTGTCCTCCAAAACTGCGTGCGATGGAGTTAATTAGTTATTACCACATGACATTTTTTTTCCGTTACCGACCAACCAGTAGACTTAGAATAGCGGAGGTACTGTATCCAGAACTCAAGAAGTTAGAACTGAAAGAGGTTATCCAAATTGCAACAACAATATGCGTCAAGATGCCCCTTGATAACAGGGATCAGTGTTTAAATTTAGTTGATAACGATGATCTTTCCGCATTGAGTGGGATCAGAAATATAATTAACAAATGTATTACCGGCAAAAGTTAGGATTGCAGGATACGCGTATTTATAGCTTATTAACTGTCGTCAGCTGCAGTTACCCGACTCCACTTTAGCCACAGAAACTGCCGCTACAATTGAGTTTCGAACCCGCAACCAGTGAGCTGGAGACGAACGTGATATCCACTTAGCCATCGGGTCGACGTCTTGCCAGTTGTCACTTGGGATATGTATTAGTACATAGGTGTACTCCGATCTGTTCCAGGATACACCAACCCTGGCTGTTTCGTCAGGCGAGGAATTTCACACCTCAAGTTGTTCTCAAAGTTGAAATAATTATCTTACTATTATGTCACGAGTAAGGTACTTAAACTTAGCGAGTAACATAATTGTTTCGTCCTTCAGAAAAAAATGAAGTGCCAAGTCTCACGCCTAACGAAACAACCAGGGTTGGTGTATCCTGGAACAGATCGGAGTACACCTATGTACTAAGAAACATAATAATTCGAGTGCGCAGTCGCCCAGGAACATTTCACCGAACAAACAACTGAGATATGAATAGCAAAGGCGGGGATGAGCAGGCCATTGTCCACCAACATAAAGTACTGGTCTTCTGTAAGATTTTTTTTATCTTTAACCCTTAAACTCTAAAACGTACATCAGAATATGTGGCAAAAGCTGTTTATGGTACTTCCGGCGTAGATGCTAACTAAAAGTTCACACACATGTTTCGCCGATTTTACTTCTGTATCCCTACCCCTACTCCTTTATCATTCTCTGAAATTCATATATCAGAATCTACGCAAGGATCGCTGGTTGCC